GCTAGAAGAGAGGATTTCGAATGTTCCCAATACAAAGAAATGACAAATGTTTAAGAAGATGGATATGTTAATTAACATGATTTGATCATTACACATTGCATACATGTATTGAAATATCATAGTACCCTATAAATATGTATAATAATTACATATCAATTAAAGTTTTAAAACATTTAAATAAAATTTTAAAAGAGAAAGAAAAAAAATAGAGAAATGATGGTCTCCTTTCCCTCTCAGTCTACCCCAGGATTTTGACTTACTACGAAAGAGATGGAGCCAGATGATTCTGAGACTTTCCACAACAACGATTTAATATTGCAATTCACCTTTGGAGCAAAAGGGTCATATTCAAATAGCTTATGATTCCACTGGCAATTTATGCAGAACTTCAGCATTTGGGAAGCACCTTCTTTGTACTATTTTTTATTTTAGTGTATAATGTCTCTGTCACTGAGAATATAAGTATTCTTTGTGAAGAAGTAATTATTTTGAAAAACACAAATGGAGTAGAGTGGCATACTGGAAAAACATAAACATAAAAAGATCATTAAATACAATGTGAGTAGAATTCTGCCTTGTATTTTCACTGACTTCAACAATATAAAATATTTTCAGTATTCCTTATGATGTCAAAATGTGCTCAGATAACATTATTTTTTACCCAATTGATGAATAAAGTGACTAATAAAATTAAAACTTTGAAAATAAAGGTCACCAATGAAGTAATTCTGATTTTTTAAAGATTAAAACATGCATATAAACTGAAATTAGTATATAAAACAAAAAAGGAAAAAAAATACATTGGGTTGTATATAAGATTTTCGATTCCAAAAATGAATTAAACTCACTCATAGAAGCTTTTTTAAATTAAGGTTTTCTCTTTTTTCTAACACTCTTCTTAAAAACTTATCTCAAGCCATATAATTGGGACAATTTTTGCCACAATCACACAAATTTGACAGCCGTAACAAGAAATGATGATATAGTCTGTCGTTGCCAGCAATTGACAGCAATTTAAGGAGTTAATGTTGTCTTCTAATAGCTGATCTTCTAAGAAATTTCATAAAATATTCTGGGGCAATTACAACAAAATCACAATCTTAAATTTATATAGTTTCCCTTCAAATACATCATTTAATTTATTCTCACAGTATTTAGATTTCTTTCAGCTGTAGAAAAGTATTTTGGAGGTGAAGAAATTGAAGCATTGGTAGATTAAATGATTTACTTACAATATATTTGGTGTAGTTATAAAACCAAAAAATCATACTACCTTTTCTCCCAATGAACTTCAGAGCCAGACAGCCTTAGGTTCAAATTCTAACTCTGTCACAGAGTTGTGTATGATTAAGTAAGTTCTATAACTTTCTGTGTCTCAGTTTCCTTATTTGTGAAATTGAGAGAATAATATCTAATGTTTAAGACTGTTATCAGAGTTAAATGATGCAATGTGTATAAAGTGCTAGATACAGGACTACACTGATACTCAATAAACTCTCATAAATATTATTTTAGGAAATACAAACTCTGGTATTTTTAATTGTATAAATTGAAGTAATAAGAGAATTTCTTAAGCCTCAGGATGCTAAGAACTAGTAATACAAATTGCCTTTTATGTCATATGATTCCAGTGAGTGTTGTAGACATTATGAAGGATTGGAGAATGGTTTGTCCATGCTGAGAAATGGGGAACATATCAGTTTATTTGAAAATTCATGGTGACATTAGTTTAAGTGAAAAAGATAATTTAAATATATGTTTTACTTTCAAGGATGTAACTGTTTAGTTTTTTTACTCATTCTCTGAAAATTGCTTATTTTTCCAAATTTAAAAAAAAAGTACACTTGAGAAACAGTATGTGATTGTGGAAAATATATTGTACTTTCTGGAGTATAATATTATACTTACTTTTGAGAACTAAGTCTTACAAATTTGTGAGAACTCAAGTCACTTAATCATTCTTTTTGGAATCCTTTTCAAGTTTAAAATTCTCAGATTCTAGTATAGAAACTAGAAATCTGGACACACAAAGAAACGACTTAATAAAAGTTAATAATTAGAATAGGAATATCCTCTTATTCCTGTAAAAAGCCATTTCGGTGTACTCTTCTGAGCAAACAAATGCTAAATTATTTTGTTTCAACTAATCTTACACTTCATGCATTTGCTTAAAGCTTAGTTTTATTCTAGCTCTACACAGTATGACACAGATACAATAGCAGACATTTGGAACATACTACGTTTAAATATTAGCTAAACAGAGTACAGCCGAAAGAAGCCTGAATATATTATTCTAAGACAAATACTGGTTATAGTGAGGTTAAACCTATACCCCTTAGTATACAAACATAATCATTTTTTGAAACCACACCACTGACAACTTGATAGAAGGGCTATAGTCAAGTATGCAATGTGTTTCAAGTTTACAAATAATTAAAATTAATTTTAAATTTTAAGTTTTATGAAGTACAGAATAATAATAATACAAAGATTCTTTAAATTAATAGCAGGTTCACAAAAAAATAAAATGAACTCCAAATATGAGGCTGTTTAATTGAATTACTTTAATACTCAATATCTTTACTGTGGTAAAGATCCTTTCAAAATCAACTTATTTTTTAAAATCCATAATTGGATTTTACCTGCACTGGGGTGGGTCTCATCTAAATTTTTTGAATAAACAGGTTCATTGCCAAAGAGGCTTCACAAATGGATACGAAAATGACACATTCAATCATCTCTACCAATGATTTATTCTCTTCTGGTTATAAAATGGCACCAGCAAATAAAGGGTGATATTTTTTAAATTACTTTATGGAGACAGTGTTCCAGAATGCCACTAATAAGCAATCATCTTTTTCTCATTTCTTCATGAATTATCATTCTATACACCCTAAGGAATAATAATGAAGTAAATTTCTCTTCTCTTAAACGAAATTTGAAAACTGGGTTAGGTGGGTATGTTTGTGTGTGGTGGGGTTGGGGTTGTCTATCTAGAAAACACATCTGATATAGCACAAAAACACACCCACGCTTTTAGCAAGCATCTGTCATGCTGTGTAAATATCTATGTAATACCACATGCATCTGCAGTGGAAAAGGAAGGAGGAGCACTAGGTGCATATGAAAGAAGACGAATAAGGACAAATACTTGCTATACCTTTATTCCCCCAATTTACTCTGGTTCTGGCTTAATGATATCTAAATGTGAAGACCAGATGATCCTGTCATATGACCAAATTACTAACCAATGATCTCGGCTGCTATGCTGAATTCAAGATAAAGCATCCGAGCAACCAGGACTCTCCACTATTGGCATTTTTCCATTTTAATGATATGGTTTTTCAATTTTAACAAGGTATAGAAGAGAAAAAAACATTGAACTAGACACAGAAACAAACTGGAGTGAGACCAAGAGATTTTCCAAGTGTGTGCATGGTACTCCAGCTAAGCAAAGTTGCCAGGTCACTACTGGATGCTGAACAGGCGCTTCTGGCCAAGAAATAATATACTGTGTTTTGGAGAACAAAAGATAAAAAAGATATAATCACAGGAAATTGCTTTATGCAGTAATGTTCCATTTAGAGGATTAGACACAGAACTGCAGTAACTGTCAAGAAAGAGGCCAGCCTCCACAAAAAAGCCAATGATACTTTTGATATTATAAGAAAGAACTAGTGCACCCTTGAAAAAAGGCCTTTTAAAAGTCGGACAAGCAGTATTAAAGTTTTACCCAGAAGGGAAATCATTATACACTGATAATTCTATCTTTATAGCTTAACAACCATCATTTGATCTAACTAGTGATGAAATAAGTAGTAAAACTGAAATTTGATGAATTGCTATGCTGTAAGATTGCAACTCAATATAGGTCATCAAGCATCTTTCCAAAACTGAGGCAAAGACAACATTTCCAAAATGGAAAGCAAACATATGTATTATGGAAGGAAATAAAGGAAAAAGTCCATTGAACATATGGATTATTAAGCATATGGATCCTAAGTGCATCCCTAATCTCAGAGCTATGTTTAACAACAGCTGGTGTACAAACCACTATTTCAATGCTCTGCTAATGTAATATGCCATTTATCATCTTCTGAAATTATTCAGTGACCTACTTTGTTAATTAAAGCATTTACAGAAATCTTCTTCCTGTATAGATCCGGACCACTGGCTAAATGAGTATTTTGAGTATTCTAGTTCCATCAAGTTGTAAGATTATTTCTATTTTAAAGAAAAAAAAATACTTTTAAGAGAGAGGCAACAATTCTATAGTTTAATGTAAAGGAAATCAATGTTTCTTCTCTGTTTAACTGTGGTGTTTTCATTTAATTATCATATTCAGAAAAGAGAACTATAAAATTAATGGTAGAAAACAAAAAATAAACTCATTAGAATTTTTAAAATGCAGAGACATAGCTCACTGCACCAATATTCTTAGTGCAGTTTCACATAGAACAGTATCAACCTTCAAGAGGAAAAAAAAAAGGAGTACATAAAACCTGTGGTTTATTTTTAACTAGTGGTCTTCATCAAATATATAGTCAGTGTGAAGGTGAGCACTAAGATCAAGAAGTAGAGATGAGGAACAGGAGGAGGAAAATACCTTAACCCTCCAACCATAAATCAACCCATTCCTTCTTCTATGACAAGTGCTCAGAGTCACCGAGAGAAATAAAGCACCTGGCTCTGGGACTGAATAAATATAATTGAGAAAAAGAGAGAAATGAAGTGGAGGCATTTATTATTATTATTATTATTATTATTATTATTATTATTATTATTATTTGCTTTGCTTGGTCAAAGCAAAGGAAATTCACCTTGCTCAGGCACCTCCTCCCAATGCAGCAAATTTAGGCATAAGCTCTAGGTTGCAAACTGAGCTTGGAAATGGTGCAGGGGAATGATGAAGGGGAGGGAGGATGAAGTTGCCGGGTCTGAGGCTGATGGTTGTACACAGAGTTACAGAAAGGAAAGGATTAAAGGGATGCTCCTCATACCTTTCTTTTCCGTTCCATCCGTTCCCTGGGGATTTTCCGTTGTTTTTTCCTCTCTCTCTCAAGATTTTTTTCCTTTTCATCCAGTTCAGCCTCTCGAACTTTTTTAATAGAAGCAGCAGCGTGAGCCATTTTGCAGAGGAAATCAGCAGAAGCTGTTGCAGAGGATCAGTTTCCACTCAGCAGCAATCCAGGTGGTTTTACAGCTATCTGGGGATGCAATTTTCCCCACCAGGGCAATGGCTGGCAGCCAGAACACTCACAAGATAATCCACTCCGCCCCCAAGCTAGGTCATAATCTTGCTCCAGCCTCTGCAGCACCCATAATTCACTACAATGTACCAAGGTTCCAAGCCAAGCCCCCTTGCAGCGCACACCTGCACACACACAGGCATAGGTGTGCCCTCACACTGGGGAACGGTCCTGGGGGAAGGCGGAGCACTGGACTTCGAGCTCTTCAGCAGTTGGGTGGCCGCAGGTGCAGACAGGCATCCTACTAGTTGAAAAAGCCTTCCTTAGGCACACACCACCAATTGGAACACTCTTTGGGGACTCCTCCAGATAGTCTGTCTTCTGACTGGAGCCTGGAAGAGGCCACCTCTGTGAAACTGCTAGGGGGTGGGTAGTTTATTGCTGCTTCCAACCACACCTCTATGCAGGGTGAGAAGAAAATGGTGCAGTCTCGCTAAGGACTCTGCGCTGCTGCTGCTGCCGCCGTGATACTGCTGCTACTGCCGTTGCTACGGCTGCTCTGCTGTAGCACATGACATGAATTCCTGCCTTTGAAATCTCTCGGCCCTTCCCTTCTCCAAGGTTCATTTAAAGAAAAGAATCAACGCTGCTGTTTGTGGAGAGGACGAGCACAGTTGGAGTTACTTGCCACTGCCTGGGTAATACATGGGTGAGCAGGTCTGGGAAGGACAGGGAGTTGCCGGGTCCTCACCATGTCACTTACAGACCCACGTGAGGCTGCACTAGAGAGCTGCATTAAGCAGGGAATCAATCGAAAGGAGCTGTCAGTGAGCACACAGCATAATCTGGGCTCAGTGAGGTTATCCTGAGAGAAAGAGGGGGGCACTCAAAAGAGGGAGAGGAGGGTAGGAGTAGAGAAAGGCAGGCATCACTTAAAATCACTCACCATCACTTCAAGAGGGACACACAGGTACTCAGTAATTACCAGAAGTGTTTGTTAAATACAAATTAACTTGAAAAGCAATGTGATGAAGTAAAGCAGGATTAATTCTTCTGGATGTTCCTGCTTATACACCCAATAGGTATTTGCAATGAAAGAAGAGAGAGGATACAACCTGTTAACTCAAGAGGATGAAATTCTCTATAATATTCCAATTGCATACACTGCCGAATCTTCAGAATTTTGCCCAGTTTTATCAACGGCCAGTAGGATGCCAAGAAGGGCATTCGCTTTTTAATTATTCACTCATACCTAGAGACATTGTGTTGTACATTGTGGATTATGGACTGCCCCCCACACACACTTACACACAGTCACACAGACACACAGACACACACACACACAAACTGTCGCATTTTAGGAGAAAGCTTTTAACTACTATAATCATTGAGAGTAAAACAATAGAAACTGATTCTATGTATATCCTATTGTTAGGAAAAAAGTAAAATAGCATTACATGCGTGTTCTCTGAGAAAATGGTATGTGTGTGTACCCTGACCCTTATGCCATACCTGCTTAGATAAATGAAGAATGTAAAATCTCATTTTCTGTATTATATGAAGATAGTGAGATAGTAAGTCTCCTAGGAGGAAAAAAACGCTAATTTTCTACGCCATGGGTGGTCTCTAAACGTTTTAGCTTATATAACATAATTTGCAATTTTTCTTTTTACCTAAACTGAGTTGAAAGCAGTAAAATTAATAAAAATATCCCACAAGCAAGCAAAATGCATTCCATGGCAGTATACAACAGAGAACCTAGCACTTAATCTGATTCAAAAAGTCAAGGGAGAAAATAATCACCACGGCATGGGCCAGCATTGTATTGGTGATATGATGGTGCACAGCTCAGTCAACATGCAGCTGGGAGAGAAAAGGAGAAAGGAAAGCAGTTTCTCTTATGCGTATAGAACATCATCCATCTCTGGCCTCAACTACTGAGAATTCATGTTCCAAAAAAACAAACAAACAAAAAAATCAGCTTCATTATTACCTAAGCTCTTCAAACTCCGTCCTCTAGAAAATCTTCTACATATTTACACAGAAACTCGCATAGCCATTCTGGCTTCTTGGGAAGATAACATGTGGATTTGGAGAGGATTCTTTTATGTCCCCTTAACCAGGTGAGTCACTGCCTGCCAGTCGGTGTAGCATACTCCAAATGTCTTCTCCTCTGAGATACTTCCGGAGGATCCGCTTCTGTGGTGTCAACGCAGTCATCAGGAATGAAGGTGGCTGACACACAGCAGCAGGCCTGGAGCACAGGGTGTTCTCAGTGCCATGTGGCACTCTCTTTTCTTCTAACTACTCTCTAAAAATGTTTACAACAAGCAAGTCTCACTTGGTTCCTAGATGTCCTTTGAGTTTAATAACATGAGTCTCAACAAAAAGAGGCTGAGCTCCTACAGTGCTACAGTGGTTTTCCTGTTAGTGAGGGTGAGTTCTTGGGGCTTCTTCTGAACAAGCCCGTCCCACTGCCCCTTTAGAGTCTGCTCATACTATATCACAGTACCCTCCCACCCTTTTACATTTCTCAATAGAAAAGTGAAAAATCACAAGCACAGCTAGAAGAATGTGAGGAGTTCCTGGTGTCGAAAAGCATTTGTTTATTTCATTAGCTTTCAATGAGTTCAATACGGACCCACTTATAAAGTTAGATGTATCAATCTAATTATATTGCTTTCTAATGCCAGGAAAATTACACATTTTTAAACTTCAATTTAATAACTAAAAACAATTCTTAGACACGGTTAACAGAGTCTTAGTCTCTAAGACTCCCTCCACTTTCCTACAAACAAGTATGAGAGCTCTTTTCATTGCTCTGTCTCATGAAGAAAGGTGATGAATCAGATGTTAGTTTGTTAGATGTCAGTTTGACCAACACAAATATTGCACAAATCACTGTGATTGCCAAATCTTTAAAAACAATAATTACATTATTTTGCTTATACTTTCTCATAATGTTTTTGAATGTGACACCGAGAAGCAAAGTCACCGTGTTTTTAGAGATGAGGACACTGGAAAGTAAAAGACTTTTTCGAGATAGCTTTCCTCACGACAGCTAGCAATATTAGGAAGGCTGAAATACTATACTTTAAAATCAATCCGCCTTGGGAAAAGGAACCCATTCAAAAAGCCCCCATTGCAGGTTTCACTATTCAAATCACAAAACAGGATATCTCAGACAACTAGTATTAATATTTTAAAATAAAATAAACTGATCACAAGTCCTTTTTTAGCATGCGATTTACATTTATCTTCTCCCAATTGTAGAATAATATATTACTCCCATATGAGATGGTTAGCAGCATGTAATCCTTTTCCCAAAGCTAGGCAAATTAGACGTTCCTACACAGTGATCACTATGTCTCTCTACAACTAATTTATTCAGTAGTGAGCTGTTGAGAAATGGATTTTTTAAAATCATTCCTTCTTGTATACTTGTGCTGCTCAGACTTCTCTACAATTTCTATTTGAATGGAAAAAAAATCACTATCAGTTTCTGAGGAAAGAGAGCACCGCACACTCACCAGCTGACCTCTGCACAGACAGGGCACCAGGTTCCAGTCCCATGAGCTCCCAGCCATTTGAATGATGGATGCACCACATGAAAGGGGTCTTCCCATCAAGCCTCCAGCAGAGATATAATACTGGCTGAATTTTGAACTTGTAATAAAAGCTGATACTTTCCACAAAGCTTCTTGGCCATCATGGGATAGGCTTGTGTCTGCCTTCAAAGGTGAGGAACACACTGTCGTTTACGTTTGAACTTGAGAGCCAGCATAGATAGATTGCCCTTCAGAGAGGGCATGTTTCATTTTAAAGACCAGAAAGAAAATGGCCATTTGCTGTCCTCACTGTCCAGCACTCCATTGATCAGAATCCAAAGAAAATCTTCTGCAGACATGAGGCATGAGTCAGGGCAGCGTTCAATAACAACTGAGCGAGCCATATGCAACTCAATCTTCCCTCTCTTTCCTTAGCCCCACCCAGGAGAAGCAGCTACACAATTGAACAGCATACACTGTCACTCTATCACAAACCGAGTGTGGGGGGGTCGGTGGGAAAAGAAGCAGATGCATCACAAAGGCAGTTAAAACATCACCTAATCAGGAAAACAAAGCAAGAATGTGCTTACTTGAGCTATGAGCCAAGAGTTCAATCTACCCAAGGTTGTAGTGTTAATCCATATTTGAGACTTGGTGTGTTTTCTGAGACCAATGAATGAACGGTCAAGGTAAAATAAAGCAAACTGGATAAGTGATTTCATTGCTATATCACCCTCAATTTGTTTTACCTGAAGCCAAACCCAAAAGCCAATTTGATAATGCAAAATTGTGAAAGCAGAGCTTGCTAATAATATAATAGATCCCACTTTCTTTTGATAAAAATGCTTCTGTAAGATTATTTGCTTAAAATTAGAATGCCCGAAGGGTATCTTCCATCTACTTCTGCCTGAGGAATAGAAGCAAGAACACTCCAGTTCCAAGTCAAAACAGGCAGCTTCCTATATTCTGGGGTGGAGAAGCAGAGGCATCTCAAGACCCTCAACTTCGTGACTCCAAAACAAGCTCACAATGCTCCTGAAATTTCACAGAAAGTTTCTTGCTAGTAACAATGGTAAGCAGACAGGGAGTGAAAAGCTCCCCTTGGGAGGCCCCTTTCTATAAGGAAGATAAAGCCACACAAAGTGTAGGTCATAAATAGTTACCATTCTGTCACCACAGACCTCCCTCTGTTAAGACTGTGAGGATGCTCTGGGGATTGCAGGCAACAGCCACATCTGCACTGGGCAGAAGGAAAGGAAAGGAACAGAGGAGGGAAAATTGAAGAAGCCACAGTTCAGAAGGAAAAGAGATTTCTGTACACAACCTGTCTCTTCCTGCATCCTCTAACCCCAACCCCAACCTCATTCAATCTTTTCCGGAATGCGAACCTATATGGACAAAGATGAATGTGCGAATAGCCTAGCTTGGGTACATTGGAGTCTGCCTGCGAAAACAGGCTGTATTTGCTCATGCAAAAAACTCTCTGACAGACAATCCCTTCACCACAGTTTCTTAATCAAATTTATTTTCTGTTCTCACTTGGACAGCAAATAAAGAAATAAGTTTATTCAGGAATCAGAAAATCCCCACAATGTTACGATCTTTCTTTTAATTTACTATAAATTATCTCAGATCGAAGCCTATTTGCATTTTAAAATATTCTTTGTTTAAAATAAGACCTTTCCCACTGTCCTCATCTCATTACTGCATAGCTCCTATTTATGGTGCTATCTTTTTATCAAATATAATTACTGTAAGCGTTCTATGAGCCAGTCATGAAGCACTGGGGACCCAGTAGTAACAGTGACAAAGTCCTTGCCCTAATTGAGATGGAAATCTAGTTGTATAAGTGATTATTTTCAGACTTTCTGGGATTTCTCAGTCACTTCATACTATCTACAGTGACTATAACTACTAATAGTCAGATCTGGA